TATACAATAATATTACGGAAAAGGAACAAAAACTAAACGAAAAAATGTCAAAAATACAAAACAAAACAAATGATATATTAGATTTACTAATGAAAAATGAAATACATAATTTATATACAATAATTATTAATCAATATTCCTACGAAACAGAAATACTAGGACAAATAGTAACTGCCGCTAGAGAGGGTATGATACATCCAAGTCTTATGACACCGCAAGAACTAGCATCAACATTAAAATCAATAGAACAAAATATAAAGAAAATATACAGTATTCCGATGGGAACAAAGAGATATGAAATAAATGAATTTCAAAAAATTACAAAAGTAAAAATCTACTATTCGAACGACAGATTAGTATTCGATATAGTAATACCACTGATTATGGACACTGAACTTACATTATACAGGTTAACACCAGTACCAATGCGTCATAACCAAGATAATTCTAGTGGATGGTACATGATGGACATTACTTATAATAATATTGCTGTAACCAAAGGCTATAAAAGGTTTACTACATACACAGATCAACAATTAAACGAATGTAAAGAAACATCAATATACAAAATATGTAATACACCACAGCCTATACAGGACAACAATGAACGCCAACCATGCGAAGTACAAAACTTTATAAAAGCTGACACGTATTCTAATCCTGAGTTATGTACGGTAAAGAAAATTAATTTAAGGAGAAGCGTATACCAAAAATTAAAAAGGAAAAATATATGGATTCACGCAGGAAAAGAGACTTTAACAGTGAGTTGCGCGAACTTAATAGACCCATTCATAATACAAACAAATGAAGCAGGAGAAATAGCTATAAACGACATTAGTTGCCAAGTATTTGCAGGGGACGCAGTATTAACTGCCACGGAAGAAATCCAAAATACAAAATATAAAGACTTTACACCTGTAACTAACATGAATAATATTTTAGAAAAAATACCCGAACATATACACAAATTCGAAACAGATGAAAAATGGGAAAAAGGACCAGCTATGCAGTTCACAGATTTACACGATGCATCCAAATCTTTAGACGAAGTACAACAAATGATTAACCAAGAACTTATAAGAGAACAGAATCAGAAGCATCAATTTGTACACAGTAATTTGCTATATGTAACAATAGTACTGGCAGTAATATCTATTATACTAATAATAGCAATTTATATAATGATAAAATGCAAGTATATTAGGACCACAGAAGTCATGGAATTACCCGGCAGAATAGTTAGATATAGGACACCCAATAGAAATGACTACGTACGAAATTATGAAGAGACACCCTTCACTCCACCACCCTCACCGAGATAAATTAATTAATTAAAAAAAAAGTGATAAAAAAATAATAAAATAAATATATTTAGAGTAGTCGCTAGTCATAACAAATTATTTACTTATTAATAGAATAAATATATAGAAAAAATAATATAGTACATACAAAACGAAAATAAATACGTAACATATTAATAAAATAATAACCATAAGAATAAATAAATATTATTTGCATAACGAAATAATTCATAGAATAATACTTACAATAATCACGATGTAACAACTATATAACAGGCCACTTTAATTATTTCAGGAACTAAAAGGAGAACAAACTATTTTAAAACATACCCACATAAATAAGAAATATAAAATGGATAGGAACTCACCACCTACTTCTCGTACAGTTCAAAAGACACTACAAACAAGAGAATTCTTTCACAGACTTATAGTAGAGTTAATAACAGCACGCCACACACAATTAAATCAAGGGGGAACAGTGACCCTACACTGTTTCAGAAGACACTTAAGGAGGGCGAATGAAGACATGACACACCCTTTTCCAAGACTAGTTTTGGAAAGAGTTATGGTACATGTATGCAACTTCGTACACACGGTGGTTGAACGACCGGACCACAACAGACCCATTTGTGTAGAAATCGGTTTGTTGTTAGAGCAACTAATAATTAGAGGCGTGGCAATAGCCCAGTAAACGATATAGTTCCAAGAAAATAATAATAATAAAAAAAAAAAACATAAATGTATAATAATATTATTAAATTATAGTGTTACTGACGTTAAATAATAAATTTTATTTTAGCTCACAGATCCGTTTTTTCATAGTGGATTTCGAATTCTTTACGGTTAGTAAAGAGGAAACATTATTGGTATCCGGGGCGATTTCAAATAGTCTAGAAAAATACCAGCCCAAGAAATTGGAAGGAAGTCCCCTTATACTTACAAAAGACGATAAGTTAAGGAGATTCCGGAAATGCGATCTTAAGAAAATAGTGCAAACGATCAAGCGGGTATTCCGAGGAAAAAAAGCAAGCGTGATTACACCACTGTTGGACCAGTTATACAGAAGTGTAGGCCATCCGGGGGAATCAACCTTGTCAACGGTTTACTTGCAAAGATATTTGCACATAGACAATAGGGATCCAATAATAGTTTTCTGGAATGGAACGACGGACATAACATTAATTAAACGATTAAGAATTAAGGGTATTGTAGCATTTTTAAATATATCAGCATATAGTATTGAAAATAATAACGAATTTAATTTAGAATTAACAAATTTAGAAACTAAAGAAATTTTATATTCAGGGTATTTAGGGGAAATGAATAAAAATGGTAGAATGTTAGGATTATCGGAGGCGCATGGATTAATGTGTGAAACTAATCACAATATTACTTATTTTCATGATCCAGTTACCGATGTAGTTTTAACGAAATGTCTATTTAATTATGTTGTTTCAAAAATGAGACCCATATATTTATATAAGTTAGCGAAAAAATATAAAAGAAATTATTATAATCAGAATAAATGAATTATTATAGTTAATAAATGAACTTTAGGAAATAAATTATATATATAGTTATGGTAAATAAATAATTTAACACTTGTAATATTATTTTAGATTCGTTGAGGAATTAAAAAACATAATAAAAACAGAAGTACATATCTATAAATTAAAAGGAAATAAGATGCAGTCAGTATGTCTTAACAGGCATATATTGAAAGCCAACAAAAGATTAAATAGCCGCTATGATCATAAAACTTTAAATAAAATAACAAGGAATCTTGAACTTTTTATAGACGATCACTGTAAGGGAGAATGTAAACATTTAGCAGAAATAATAGAAAAAACTAGGGACCCGAGTTATATAATATACTATCCTAAGTAAATTTTTTGGTTGCATATGTGTATGACAATTTTAATAATTATTCATATAAATTTATTATATAAAATTAATTGGTGGAAGATAATAATTATTATATTGTAATCAAGGGGAAATACTAACGTTATACATTATATACTTACATTATATACTTACGTTATATACTTACATTATATACTTACACTTTTAATACTGTAATTTCAGGTACAATACTGTATTATTATTTTTGAAGGACTATTGCTCCTTCTTACTAATACTAGTTATTTAGTAATTTATGTATTTTGTTCTAACTAACACTGTACTAACCACGATATATAACTTTTAATATATATAAAAAAATATGTAACAGTAATTATATATGACACTTAAAATTGTAATGTCTACACTGTATAATCAAAATTGTAAACTGTTATAACAATTGTAATCAAATGTATGTCAAATTGTAAATCAACTATTGTGATTAATTAACTTAACTATGATTGTTAAAGATTCTTAACCCTTAAAGGTTAACAATCTTTTTTTTGGTGGGGAGGTGTAATGGGATTACGCAATTCATGTACAACGCTCACAATAACAAGTACTACTTATGTAGAAAGCGGCCTCGTCGACCACACCCAAAAGTGGTCATAGCTAGAATAAGCGCTTCGGACCACAACAACTTCCCAAGGGCGCCTACATGCCACGCGCCGCTCAATTCAAAGGGCGTCGCCTTCGTATATTCGTATATATAGAGGCTAGGGCCTCAATACAAATTAGATGTATCCAGAGACGAGAACACCACACGTCTCGCTTAAGCCGCCCAGCCATTTCACACGACTTACACGGAGATTATCAACTTCGGAACGAGCTACAAATTCACTACAATCAACACTATTATTCTGCTTGTTTTGTCTGGTTTAATATAATACATTTGATTACCATTCTAATTGACTATTATTATTTATCAAGTACACCAGCTTTTGGATCCCTGAAGGGCCGCATGTAACAATGTTTTAAAGAGACATACACATGGTTTTTTGTCAACTGGACTGAACACAGTCAAAAATGTATTTTATTGACTGATAATAAGAATAAGAATAATGCGACATAATAGTGGTAACATAATAATTATAACATAGTAATGATAATATTCGTAGTGGACTGTGTAACAAAAATGCCCAAACATACTCCCCCTGTTGAGGACGAAGGGATTCAACAGAATTACAAAAAGTGTCTTAAACAAAAAAAACCACATAACTATAAAATATAAATAAAGTGGTAACAAAATGTGAAATATGAATGAATAATAATAATTAAAAAATAAAAATAAATGATTATAAATTAATTACTGATTAATAGGCAACTTGATTAATTTAGTGATGGGACTTGTCAGCTCGGCTACAGCAGTACGGATTTTTACTACTCCTACTTGACCATCACTGGTACTTGGAATTAGTTGAGTGATTCGAGCCAAAGGCCACTGTGTAGGCGAAGTCTGAATGCCCTTAACAACAACAAGGTCGCCCACTTGTAGATTGGGTTGAGTAAACCGCCACTTAGGCCGGTTTGCAGTGAATATAAATCCATCGTTTCCAAAATCCCTGTTGAAGTTGTTGTATGAGGTTCCATCTTGTCAAACGATTCATAGGAACTTCTGTTAATTCTGGTTCAGGCAAAGCTAGAAGAGGCCTTCCTATAAGAAAGTGTCCAGGGGTTAAAGCTGTGTAATCAGTGGTATCCATACAGACAGCTTGAAGTGGTCTTGAATTTAGAATCGCTTCAATTTGGTAAAACAAGGTGTTTAGCTCTTCAGCGGTAAAGCACATGTCTCTTGTAACCTTATTCAGAATACCCTTGGTAGACTTTATATTCGATTCCCACAACCCTCCATGATGAGGCGAAGCAGGTGGAATGAATTTCCTTTGACTGACAGAATAATGTAACAGAGTTTTGATGATCAAGTTGCTGAATTAGTTTGTATAGCTCACACAATTTGTTCTTCGTACCAGTAAAGTTTGTTCCGTTATCGCTACTGATGATAGCTGGTAGTCTTAATGTAGCAATAAAATCTTCAGTACTCAATTCATCTACCTTTTCCAAATGTACTGCCTTAGTAGTCAAACAAATGAACAGCGTTAGGTATGATTTTGTGAAGGTGCGACAGCGAAGTTTGGATTTGATATTAAATGGGCCGGCAAAGTCAGCTCCAACTTTTTCAAAGGCAGTTGCTCGTGTAATTCTGGATGTAGGTAGATTTGACATTAGTTGGTGACATGCTGCTTTTCTAAATCGATAACATTTAATACAGTTATGTATCACTCTTTTGACAGAGCTCCAGTCATGTATGATCCAATATCTCTGTCTAAGAAGGGTCATAGTAACCGACAAGCTTGAATGTAGGTTAAGTAGGTGCACTTGGTTGATGATTATTGTAGTGAAGGAGTGATTTTTCGGTAGAATAATAGGATGTTTCATATCATAAGCCATTTCAGAATGTTTGAGACGACCGCCCACTCTTAGTATTCCCTTTTCATCTATAAAAGGATTCAAACCAGCGAGTTGACTATTGGTCCTTACATTCTGTTGTCGACTCAGGGAGGTTAGTTCCATGATAAATTCTGCCTCTTGCAGTATACGTATCCAGTACTCCATTGCTTGGCGCCTTTCACTCACAGCACCGACGATCTGCTTGGCCTGAGATTCCTGCAAAATCGAATAATATAAGACACAATTCTCAATAACCTTTCTATATTAGAATGACGATTCAGGAGTTGTTACCTTGGTGAAGTGCTTCACGTGGTCGTTAATGGCATACTGCATTGAACTGTTCTTTCTTCAATGTTAAATGTAGTTTTCATAATTTTCTGCTAGCAACGTAGGTACTGAATGTTCTTGAGTGGAGACGATGTAGACTACAGCGGCATAAGCCTTTTCAGAGCTATCGCTGAAACCATGCAGTAGAAATGTACTGTGCTCCGATGAATTGATTATGTGCCGTGGTACTTCAAATGTGTTTAAAAATTTAAACGACATTCTATGTATTTTCCAGGCTTTAAATAAATGTTGGGGGATGTGGTCTTCCCACGCTATGCGCTCTTGCCACAATTGCTGCATTATCAATTTTGCAACAACTACTAAAGGCGCCAACCAACCACAAGGATCAAAGTTTCTTGCAATTTTGGATAATAGTTCCCTTTTTGTTGGATAAGAGATAGTTTTCATTGGTTCCGCCCAAAATGTAAATGTGTCATTCGTTGTGTTCCAATTGATGCCCAATATTTTTATTGTAGAGTCTATATCTTCTTTGAATGATATTTCTTTAATTTGGTGTTCAGAAGGTATGTGTTGCAAGGCTTCGTGGTGGTTGCTTGCCCATTTTCGCAGCTCAAAGCCTCCTTGATTTAATAATGCAATAAGTTCATGAATTATATGCAATACTTCCCTTAGACTATCACCACCAGTCATGACTTCGTCAACATAAAAGTCCTTTAACAAGATCTGTGCTCCTATTGAGTAGGTGTCTTGTTCATCTAATGCTAATTGTTTTAAGACACGTGAGGTGATCAATCCATATGTCACTGTTGCAAGTCTGTAGCTCTGTATAGGTTTCGATGGATTGTCCCTCCATACAATACCTTGAAACTGCTGATCCTCCCTGTCAACTTATATTTGCCTGAACATTTGACGTATATCTGGGGTAAACACAATGGCGGGAAATCTGAAATGTGTGATGACATCAACAATGTTTTTTGCAAATTATGACCACGATATAGTGGATCATTAAGCGAGCACCCATCATCTATCTCACTTGATCCATCGAAAACAACTCTTAGTTTGGTAGAAGAACTGGCCAATCAACACACATGATGATGTGGCAAATAAATCAGAGGTTGTTGCTCACCTGGTTGAACTAATTTCATATGGTGAGAATGTTCATATTCATACATAAAGTCCTTATACATTGACGACAAGGTTGATTGTCCTTTGAGAACTCGTTCAACCCTCTTCAATCTGCTAACAGCTACTTGATAAGAGTCGTTCACAGCAGGTGGTGGCTCTTTGAACGGTAGACGTACCACATAACGTCCACTTGTCTCTCTATGTGTTTTTATAAAATGCTCTTCACATATCATATCTTCTTTAGTCATATGATTAGCTCTAGGTATCTCTTCAATGTTCAAAAAGTTTTGAACGGCTATGTCTAAAGTAGATAGAACTGCTGTAGTGTGACAGGTGATGTTTTCAGTTATGGTTTCCTTAAGCGGTAGTTCATAACCGCCACCAATAATCCATCCCAATTCAGTGTTCTGGAGTGTAGGCCAACCTTTGTTTTCGCAGGACTGATCAGTCTTTAATAGCCTAAAGAACAACTCAGCACCAATTAACAAATAAATTTTACCTGGTTTATAGAATGTTGGGTCGGCTAAGGGCATGGTTTTTTGTCAACTGGACTGAGCACAGTAAAAAATGTATTTTATTGACTGATAATAAGAATAATAATAATACGACATAATAGTGGTAACATAATAATGATAACATAGTAATGATAATAATAATGATAATATTCGTAGTGGACTGTATAACAAAAATGCCCAAACACATAGGTACTTAGTATATGTAATTCATTATTTACATAATTTTATACTTGATAGTTAATAGTATAATAATATAAATAATTTGATAGATACTCTTCTTCGGTATTACAGTATAAAATTGAAAATTATTGTCTCAAATTTTTCTTTTTATCATTTGTGTTTATGACGCTCCCTAAATTTATGGATGCCGTTGAGCACTTGTCCCCTTGCCCCCCGTAGAATGACTCTGATAATATTGTAAATAAAAAATGTAATATTAAGGTGTACAACTGTACCTAAATTAAATATTATGTCTACAATTTTCACATAATTGCACACTTCAATAGAATTTTATTTAGTATTTTGTGTCATAAAGTTACTAGGTAAGTCCCAAAATAAATCACATCCAATTATCAGAACACTGAATTTCCAAACTTGTTATGTGTTCTTTGAAATTTATGTTCAGATGCTCCGTGCTATTAAAATTGGATACTGGTTTCGCAATATATTAAATACAAATTAAAAGTTTGTTAAAAATATGGCAGTGCACTACTTGTTTTCTCTCTGACCTACATAACAAATTTGTGTAGAGCAGATCCAATTTTGTAATGTTGGCTTTAATAAACATAGAGTAAAAATATTTTCTAAAGGTATATTTCTTTATATTTTGTTTTTAAATCAAGTTATGGGTATTTTAAGTACCTAATATAATTTATTTAACATAGTTATTTATTATTTATTTTGACCTAACTGGCTGAGAACTTTGGACACAAATATAATTCTACACACACAATTAGGTATATTATAATATAACTATATAACATAATGATATTGGACAATATAATGTAGTCATAGTGTCATACAAATAAGTAGATAACTCACTATTGAATTAATAAATCAATAAAATCCCATGAGGTGCCCACAATAATATTCTTACCTTTAAGTTTTAGTATTCACTTTAATATTAATGTATTTATAACTTACTTGATGAATTGCAATATTTATAATGTATACTTGGTCTGTAGAATTGTCTTAAAGAAAATCAACTTCTCAAAAATGTTCAATGCATTGGCTCGACTTCTTAGTTCCTCGTAGGCACCTACATCATATTATTATATTTCAGTTTTGAAAACCATGATATAATACAATGTGTATAATGTATTTGTGTGAACTAAAAACAGTAACAGTAACAGTAAATCATTAAGTTACTTTCAGCAAATATTTAAAATTTTAGAGAACTCAGACAACTACTTACTTACGTGTGTCGTGTTTGAACTATTCAACTATGAGACGCGAGTTAGACAATAGTGAATAGAGTATAGACCATGGACCATGTACATAGACATTACAAAATGTCTGTAAACCAAAAAGTGCCGGGTTGCATGAACGCCCGTTAAATGTTTAACGAGCCGTTAGCGCGCTAACGAATGATTAAAATTTTAATCATCTGTTAAACAATCTTTAAACGTTCAATAGTTTTATTGGGCCGTTAAAATATAGGTTACCAGCTCATTAAACTAATGGGCCGATTTCGGCTCTTTAAATTTTAATCATTCGATAATCCTACAGTTATCAGTTATCACGCATACGTATTCAGGTGTCAGTAGTACGTCGTCACTATACCTACCCTGTAGTTGGTCGTACTTACTAAATTTTTTTCTTAATACTTATAAGCTATAACCGAAAATAGTAAAAATGTCGAGTTCTGATTCAAGTTTATCGATTTCCGATGATGAATTGGTTTTGGGTATTTTGTGTCATTTACCTAGACCGAGGTTATTTAGAGATCGATCAAATCCTTTGGAGGAATTTGATGAACAGAACCGAAAACGCCGAAGAAAGATTAAGTACAGACTAGTAGACTACAAATTCACAATTTGTAGAATTTAGCAATTATTGTTATTATACATATTCAAAATTAAAAGTTCAAACAGCTGTTGATACAGTATCTAGATCATAGGATTTTATCACTTTTTCTGTGATAAACTTAAATTTCTACACTAACCTCGGTATCATGTTTAATACCAATATATTTTTATTGTACGATTTGTGCAACCCAGACGCTTCTGTAAAAATATTTAACGGCTCGTTAAAACTGTTCATTAAATAAATTTAAAGTTCGGTTTCATGCAACCCGGCATAAAACTAGAAACTAATCAGTTATTACTTATTATTGACCTAGCCAGACATTGATAAGAATAGGTACGATGTGTTATGTGTTGCCTATACAAGTCCTTAACATAATACTGTAATCGGAAAATAAGTCCCGTAAAGAAAAGTATACCTATAAAAAAATAGTGAAAAAAGGTACTGACAATCTTTTTCTTGTACAGTTCTACAGTTGTACTCTGTATTTTAGTGTTTTCATGTAATGTTCGTACATATTATATTTTTGTAATTTACCATAATAAGTAATAAATAAAAAAAATATATAAGTGGACAATTTAACAAAATACTTATTCTTATACTGCAATTGTACAGTTGTACTTTGTACTTTGTACTTATTTAGTGTGTAATGTATAATTAGGTATAAAATATATTTGTTATCTACTATAATAACTATCTTAAGCCGTATATTTTACTTTAGTAGGGCCGTAGGGGGCATCGAACAAATAATATGACTGTAGGGTGCTAGGGTGGAATAACTGATTTTCAAAACTCTGTGGACATAAGCATTAATTATCCAACTATTTCGAAATTAATTAGAAAAATTAAAAAATTAATTTCCGCAGATGAAGCGAAATTAGCTTTAGATGCTGTAGGAGATTCGAGAACTATTAAAAAACTAGGGAAAACTCGGACCGTAGAAAAACATCTACAAAATGTATGTAATACAAATATAAGCGGGCAATATCAGTGTGTTAGATTTTTTAACAGCCGTAAGTCATAACTAAAGACTATAATTGTTGGCATTCTATATTGCATTTTTTGCATTTTGAGTGCATATTTTATTTCATTTTTTTGACATTTTTTAAGGATTTTAGTGAATTAAATTCACTGCCCTGATTATTAAGTACTACATTAGTAAGGCCTTAA